TCTGTTGTTCACCTGCCTCTCGTGCTGTGCCACTCACCCGTGACCGCCGCTCCTGGGGGCTGGTTCCGTTTCGTGTTTGCCTGTGCAGCCGGTGCTCTTCCTGTGGGCGCCGATCAAGGCCGTGGACCACCACCTCCGCAAGTACCAGCACTACTACTTCCCGCTGCTCTACTGCCTCATTTACGTGTCCTGGCGCTGGCAGTCCCTCCTGTGGTCCCTCAACCGCCGTGACTGGAACACCTTCCTCTTCTCCCAGCTCCCAGGCTACGTCTGGTGTGTGTGTGTTTGTGTTAGTGTTGTGTGTATTGTGTGTGTGTGTGTGTGTTCGTTGTTTGTGTGTTAGTGTTAGTGCTCGTGTTGTGTGTGTGCGAGTGTGTGTGTGTGTGTGTGTGTGTGTGCGTGTGCGGCCGTTCTTGGTTGAACGACCAACGCACTTTCGTCGTGTTGCTTCTTGTATTGTTGTGCAGGTGTATCAGTTCACCCCCCTCCTCCACGAACCTGATGTATCTCCCAAACCCACACTGCGCACGCATAGGCTGGCCATGATGCCGTGGTACGTCTCTCTTGGCTCCGTCCTCTTTGGCGGCTTCCTCGTTGCCCTTGTTGTGACGCTGTCGCACGAGACTGAGGAGATTGTCACGGGCCGCATCACTTCCTTTGCCGAGGTTCGTTGCTGTTTTCGTTGTTGGCGTCATTTCCCTTGCTAGTGCACTTGTTTGTTTGTTTGTTTGTTTGTTTGTTTTTCTCCCTCCTGTACCAACTGTATGCTGTTCTCGCACTTTCTCACACCCTCTCACGCACATGCTCGCACCCTCAACCCACACCTCGCGCTCGCCCCACGCGCTCACACACACGCTCTGTGAGCAACATCCATCTCCCCATCAGAACCAGTTTGTGTGCACGAAGAACATCGAGTGCCCGGATTGGATCACCGAGTATCTGTTTGGCGGCATGCAGTACCAGCTGGAGCACCATCTCTTCCCCACGCTCCCCCGCTACAAGTACCGCCTGCTTGTGCCGATTGTGAAGCAGTGGGCGCGCAACAACGGCCTCGAGTACAAGGCAGCGCCGCTCACAGACATGCTGGTTGAGCACTACCAGTTCCTGAAGAAGAACGGTCAGCTCGCCGCCCGTAAGGACAAGGTGGACAAGTACGCCTTCCAGCCCTAGGCAACCAAACCATTGTTGGGGCCGTTTCCTTGGCTTGCCTGTTGTCCCCCGTCTCTCTTCTCCTCTCGCCAGCCATTTTTCCCCTTTCTTCTTCGCTTGTGCTCTCGCGTAGCCTGCTTGGGCTGTCTGCCTCGCTCCCTGTAACGACTATCACAACATCACACGTCACCATTGTCATTCGCGGCACAACAAGAGAGCGGGGAAGAAGGGGCAAAGGTGGAAGAAGGGAAAAAGCAAACAAATCGAGTGGCGGCAGTGCAGTGGTTTCACGACAGGACAAAAAACGGTGGTGTGGTGTGGTGGATAGCACGAAACCTACAATTTTGCTTTTTGTCTCCTCAGTGCAACAACACCTGCTCAAGATGGCAAACAGGCAAGACAAGCAAGAAGCGATGAGATGATGATGCGCTGGGAAGCACCTCGTATCCGTGTGTGTGTGGCTGTGTGTGTGTGTGTCTGTGTGCGTGTGTCTGTGTCTGTGTCTGTGTGTGTGTGTCTGTGTGTGTCTGTGTGTTGTCTGTGTCTGTGTCTGTGTCTGTGTCTGTGTCTGGCTGTGTGTGTATCGTTGTGTGTGTCTGTGGCTGTGTGGTGCTCCCTCCCCGCGTTGGTTGCGTGCGTTTCCAGTGCACTGTCTCTTATGTCTTTCTTTGGCGTTGCAACGCTTGCGCTGTTGGTTGTCGGTGCAGGCAAGTTGGCAAGAAGGTCATCCAGTGGTCGCAGATTGCGGCGCGACTGCCTGCCTTCAACGCTCCCGAGGTCAACCTCATCCAGGAGAAGTACACCAACGTCAAGGCCGGGTAAGCGTATGAGTGCGGGTCATTGTGAGTGGATGTGAAGAGGAATGACACCCGTTGAAGAGGAATGACACGCACACACACGCACGCACGCACATGCACACACATACATGCACATGCACACACACACATGCACACACACATACACACTGTCTCTCGGCTTTTGTATTTGACCTGGCTTCGTGTTCCCCAACGCACTGCCCCTTCACGCGTGCATGCGCTCGCTCTTGCCGACTTGCTGGCTGAACACAGTCTGGCGCGTGTGCCTGAGCAGCCTCCAGCCGTCGACTGGGAGAAGTACAACAACCTCATCACATACCCCAACTACGTCAAGGACCTCCGCAAGCAGGTGGGCTCGCTCACCCACAACATCACATCACGCACGCATGCATTACGGGCTGCCTCTTCAATTATGCCTTGTGCATCCATCCATATCCACCCACCCATCAGCGCCGCCCTTGTCCCTTTTGCTCTGCTGATTCACTTTGGGACACAACACCTCCACCATTGACAGTATGAGTCCCTGAAGTTCACATACCCGGAAGACTCGTCGAGTGCCACCATTGCCGCTGACGAGAAGGCTGCGGTGCGTGCGTTAACCTGGGGTGCGGGGGGTTGCGTTGAGTCAGTGAGGCGGACGTTTGCTGGTGTGTGTGTGTGTGCGTGTGTGCGTGTGTGTGTGTGCGTGTGCGTGTGTGTCATTGGAACAACACATATGGGTGGTGCTGGGCGGCCGTCATGCTCACCCCAGCCAACTTCCACCCACGGTCTACGAATGAATACAGATTGCTCGTTCCAAGGAGGTTGCCAAGGCTGCCGAGCAGAAGATTGCTGAGCTTGAGCAGCAGCTGGCTGCCCTCAAGGCCGAGAAGCCCCTCGACCAAGTCACGGTGCGTGTTATGTGTGTTTGCGTGTGTTATGTGTGTGTGTGTGTTTGTGTGTTATGTGTCCGTGTGTGGCCGTGCGTGTGTGCGCAGAGACAGCGGCAGTGCCGGTGTTGATGATGTCATCTTTGCATGTACCTCGCGTTATGACGTGCGACCACAACATCAGATCCGCCACAATGCTCACCCACCATGCTGCCCCTCCCCAAACAACAACAACACACACACACACACACACACACACACACACACACACACACACATACACATACGCACACATGGTAGGTTGATGAGGTTCTTGCCACCAAGCCCGAATGGAAGCGCCGCTTCCAGGACGAGATTGAGGCCGGCAAGTGGGACTAGACTCACTCTGTCCCTCATACGCTTCGCAGTCTTTGTTCCTTTTCGTGATGCTGTACGCTGCACGTCCACCCAAAACCTCTCGTCCCACGTCTGTTGTCTCAATGTTGTGTGATATGATTAGTGCCGCTCAAACGGCTAGTTGTTTTGTGTGGTGTAAACGTGCGTGAATGTGGCGTGAGTGACACGGTCAGGCGCAGCTCGTTCGCATGAGCATGTGCGTGTCTGTGTGTGCATGCGTTTGCTGTTGGTCTTTGGTACTTGTCTTGTCTCCTCTTCCCCTCCGCTCCTTGCTGTTTGTCTCGCCCTCCCCCACGCTGTGGCTAATGTGGTTCCAATGCCCTGGGGGATTGGCTCTTGCTCTGTGTTGTGCACCACCATTTACGGTACCAGCAACACTTACCCAAAGATGGTCGTGTGTACACAAAGGGCGAGAGGAATAAGAGGGTGTGTGTGTGTGTGTGTGTGTGTGTGTGTGTGTGTGTGTGGAGTGGGCTGAAGAGGCCTTGGGTACAGGAAGTGGAGATACGAAGGTCATGCATGTATGTGATACGACGTCATGTAACAATACCAAGAAGCAAAGCGTTGACAACACGCACACAGCCACCTCATGCGGGGGCACCGCAGACCTTTGTGCTCATGGCCTGGAGCTCGGGCCACATGACAGCTGGCTGATCATCTGGGTTTGAGAGCAGGATTTGGCGGGAGAAGACGCTGCTGTTGTCGTCGGCGAAGAACGTGCCCGGTCGCGCAAACACCAGGATGTTGCGCTTGTGGTTGACGTTGCGCTTGTCGCACACGCGGCGCACAAGCTCCGTCACGCGCCACAGGTACACGAGCCCCCTCGACGTGAACTCCTCGATCCACTCCTCTGTCGGGCGCTCGGCAATGTGGCCCCAGCCTTCCTGGTTTGGTCGGGCAGCGGAGAACACCAACAGCTTGTCCACCCTGCGCATGCAAGCATCGTTTTGTTTGTGAGCATCATGCGCGAGCATCATAAGTGCAAACCAGACGTGCATATAAGGGCAAGCGTGCATACAAGGGCAAGCGTGCTTTGGTGTTGATCGGCCGCGCACACGCATACAGTGACACGCAGACACGCACACACACACACACACACACGCACGCACACACACACACACACACAACACACACACACACACACAACACACACACACACACACAACGCACGCTTACACACAACACACACAACACACACACACCTACCTGGAAACGAGGAAGTCTGCCATCTTGTCGTGAAACTCTCGCGGGATGTGCTCCAGCACTTCGATGGAGTACACGAGGTCAAACTTGCTCATGAGCCCAAGCGCAGCCAGCTCAGCTTCGGACGCGTGGAGCACATTCACGGCCGCCTGCGCCGGGCACAAGGACGTGTCGTTGACGCGCGAGAACACAGAGTTCTCAAAGGTCATGGCCTCCGGCTCGATGCCAATGACCTTTGTGGCGTTGCTCCGACGGCAGACGTAGTCCAGGTACAAGCCCAACCCACAGCCAAACTCAAGCACAGACTTGACCTGGGGATTGGAGTATGCCAGGAACCGTGCCAGGCCTTGGTCAAAGTTGAGCCCATACACGCGCAGGTGCGTGCACGCCGTCCATGCGTTGCCCTGCGCGCCAGCGAGGTCCGTCTGGGAGGCCGCCTCAACCACATCCCCCATCCACCCAACGACCACAACCACGGCCACCAACAAAACAGTCGCCCTCGTCATCATCGTTGTTGAAAGCGCGTGTGTGCAAAAGTTCAGTGGAGTGCTTGAATGAATGGCGCCACCATTGTTTGCTGGCTGGTTGCGTGTGCTCGTCATTGGTGCGCTGACATGCTGACTGACATTGGCTGTTGTGTATGACGCGCTGCCGGCTCATCGCGGGCCAACGAGTAATGTGACAGAGGTAGAGAGAGACAAAGAGAGAGAGCGAGAGAGAGAGAGTGAGAGAGAGTGAGTGAGAGAGCGAGAGAGAGAGAGAGACAGATTGAGGAGCTGTGGTGCTAATGAACTCCCAAGCACAAGCACGCGCAAGGTATGTACAACACTAACGCACAGTGCGTGTGATCTCCTCACGACGTTGGCGTGCGCAAGTTGGCTGCGTGCTGCTGCGCCTCTTGCAAGGCAATGTGCACGGGCTTTGGCGGGCGGCCCAGACCTTCCCGCAGCAGTGCCTCCAGGCGTGCCTCCTCCTCGTCTACCATGCTGCGTTTGAACTCAAGCGCAGGCGTGTGCTTCAACGGCAGTGACCCCGCAATCATGCGCCGCAACTCGCGCGTGCGCGCCACAAACACCTCCGCAATCGCAGCCTCCTGCGTTCACACATGTTGTGGTTGTGCGTGCGTGTGTGTGTGTGTGTGTGTGTGTGTGTGTGTGAGTATTTGTGTGTATTGATGATAAAAGCACAGCTGGAGCCATCCAAACACTATTCCACGCACGCACACACACACACACACACACACACACACACACACACACACACACACACACACACACACACACACACACACACACACACGCACACACACACGCACACACACACGCACACACACACACACACACACACACACACACACACACACACACACATTCAAACACAAGTGAACAAACGCACCTGCTCGGCTTGCAGCTCTGGGTCTTCTGAAAAGGTGGCTGTCCAATACACAGTGGCCTTGCGGAAGCTTCGCTTCACGTGAACCTGACAGCAATCGAGGGACAGCAAAGCAACGACAGTGCATCATGAGACACACGGGGTCGACGATGATGATGAAAAGGAGGAGAGAGGGGGATGAAAGGGCAGCACACACGCGCACACACATACACACATATTCCAACACACGCACACATGCAGCACACACGCACACACACCCATACACACACACACACAAACACACAACGCGACGTACATCGTAGATGGTGATGTTGGCCTTGACAAGGAGTGGGTCCAGGTGATGCCGGTAGATGGCTGCCTCAATGGCAGTGCCGATGGCATCGGTGACACGCCTGTACCTCGCACTGCCTTCCCACCGCTCATCCTTTGTGCGCCGCTGGTGGCGTGGCTTTCCCAGTGAGAAGACCACCTCTGTCACAGGCACCTCGTCTGTGCCACTGCCACCACGGCGCCCATCCGACTGCAGCAAATCCTCCATATCGTGTCCACCTTCGCCTTCGTCATCGTCATCCTCGTCCTCGTCCTCATCATCATCGTCCATGTGTGCTGAGCGTCTCCTCTTGCGCGCGTGCTTGGCAGAATGACCCAGCTCATCTGCCGAGTCAATGTCCATTGGTGGAGGCACAACGCCGTTGGGCACCATGTCGGGCACCTCTAACCTCACAGAGTCGTGCATGCCTGGAGGGTCGAGCACGGTCACGTGCTTGGAAGGCACAGGCGCAGGCGCAGGCGCAGATGCTGCGTTTGCCCCCGTGGGGTTCCATCTGCCTGTCACATCGTTGGCAGTGTCGCCGCTGTCGCCAACACCAGCGCTGCTTGCAACCCTGTCACTAGCGGCGCCATGCTCATCAGCGCCCCGATCGCTGTCGGGCTGTGCATGGCGCCTCCTCCCCCGGCTCTGTTTTGCTCTGAGCTGTTGCTCCCGCTCTGCATCGCGCGACTGGTTTACTTGCTCCGCGACCTTGAAGTAGTGCTCCATCTGCTCCATGGACAGCTGCAGGTATGCGCGTTCCTCCGGGGACATGCGCTGCAGTTCTGCGGCCACCTCTTGCCTCTCCTCCTCGCTCATGCTTCCCATGCTCTGCAGGCCTTGCAGCAGTTGGTCTGCGCTACCGTCGTCCTCCTGGCGCAGTTGCTGCAGTTGCTGCAGTTGCTGCAGCTGGCGCATGTGCGCGTCTTCCTCGCTGGCCTCCTTCATCAGCTCCTCAGGGATGGCAGGGCGTGGTGCTCGCCGCCTTCGCTGCAGCCCAGCACTCGTGCGCAACAGCCTGGCATCGACCATCCCTTGCCCCGGCCACACTCGCGCAACGGCCCCAGCATGCCGCACGCTCACAGCCCTCCTCAACACGTGCTGCATCATCGCCGTTGTTCGTTTGGTTTTGGTGCGGATTTGTGTCGTGACGACGGCGATGGTCGTTTATGGCGGCGGGAAGACAATCGATCAGAAAGAGAAGAGTGAATCAAACGTTTGTTGAGAAAGCAGAGACGAGGTCAGGAGCAAGAAGCCACTGTTATGGCGGCGCGCTGGGGTTCATGCGGGCAGCAAAGGCTGCGTCGGATATCCTCTCGTGCTGCAGGAGGTTGGTCGCTCTTGCCAGCCTCACAGCAAGCACATGCTTGCACTAAGAAAAAGAGGGGGGAAGGGTGCAGGGATGAGGGGAATGAGAGCGGGGGATGGGAAGGAGATGGAAAGGAGAGAGGGGGGGCAACTGGTATGGCTCTGAGGTACACACACACACACACTCTCTCTCTCTCTCTCACGCAATCACACACACACACACGTGTACTTCGCACACTCGTTTCTTACCATGCTCACTTCGTTCCTGAGGACTGAACAGTGCAATGGGATGCACACAACCATCCATGCATGCAAACAGAAGCCAGCATGCAGTTAGATGGGCGATGGAGAAACGGGTCAGCAGGTCAAGTCAAACAAACAAACAGCAGCCACCACGCCACAGTCAACAAGCACAAATGTGCAAGCACAACCAAACTGTACCAGTGTATTCGTATGCTGCACATTCGCAAAAGCCTTGATCCACAAGCGTGAAGTACACTCGACCTCCTTTGCCAGCCACCTACAGCACCCACACAAATGGAGACGTGCTCGATTGGTTGCGGTGCACACATGTGCGTATGCATACACACACGCAAGCACACACACACACACACACAGACACACACACACACACACACTGCAGCACTTTCATCCAACACACTTGATGGGCGACCCGGCCAGCAGGGCAAGTGATCTCCGTAACGGCTCTGCGATCGAGAATGTCCAGCGCAGCCAGAGCGTTCTACACTCATGTTGCACAGACACACAGGGGGAACGATGTGAGACACGCATGTGAGGCAAGACGTGAGTCATGTGTGACGAAGGACCCAGAGTGATTTGTGTTCAAGAGCAGGAAACTCAAAGCCAGTCACACAACTCAAGCGCGTGGCAGCAAGCAAGGAAGCTGGCAACTGCAACGTCAAAACCACGCGCACTTGAGGAAAGACGCTGTGCAACGCTGCCAGCATTTCTGAGGACAACTCTCGCTGCTGCTGTGACTGGTGTTGCTGTGACTGGTGTTGCTGTGACTGCTGCGGTTGCTGTTGTTGTTGCTGCTGGCGTGGCTCATGGCCGACCGCCACCTCCTTGCAGATCAACTGCAACACATGCTCCTCCAACTCGCGCTGCATCCTCCTCCGCTCATATCCATCCGCTCAAACGCGTTCCCGCCAAACCACACACAGGACTGGTACGAAAATTGGCTATATCATTCATGGCTTATCGACAGCGTGTGTGTGCGTGTGTGTGTGTGTGTGTGTGTGCGAGTGTGGCTTCCTTCTCTTGCGGACTTGCTTGCTTGATTGATATGCTCGCTTGCTTGTTTGCTTCGCTTGGTGGGGTTGTTTGTTGTTTGTTTGAGCAGCTGGAACAAGAACAAGGTGGTGCGAAGCGAGGTCACATGGGGGGAGGGGGAGAGAGAAGATGCGTGCGCATGCAGCCACAGCCACGCACACTGAATACACTCGAATACAGTACAACAACTCTCCACATTCCATGGCTGAATGTCGTCATGATTTGACAAGAACAAGGCAGAATGAAACACGCACTGATACACACTCTCTCTCTTACACGCACACACACGCACACACTCTCTCTTCAACGTTCACACGCTGATACACTCTGATACATACATGTACACACACATGTACACATGCATGCATATGCAAGCGCGAATGAGACAAAACAAAAAGACATGGTGCAAACAGTGGTGCGGTGATCAAACCAAGGGCAAAGAACAAGGGCAAACAATTCAACATGCGAAACAACGAGGGCAATGCATGCACGTGCGGACAACTGGAGGATCATCATCCCTCCAGAGAAAGCAACATGACACAACAACACCGAAGCCACAGGCCATATATTCACATCACATAAACACGCGTTCACAAACACAAAAAAAAAATTATCACGTACACACACACACACACACACAAAACTACACAAACACACACGGCCTACGGTATGTGCAAAGGTGAGGATATCACATCACGCCATGGACTCTGTCCGTGCACGGAACCCCGTCTCCTGGGTGCTGGTCTCGCTCGAGCCAGGCAAGGGCATATCCTCTCCTACTTCGCCTTGTGCACGCTGCCCGCCCTGCTCCTTCGGCACTGTGGTTGCTGTGCCATTGCCAACACTGCCTTTGTGCGTTGCACCATCGCCCGCGTTGCCGCCATCGCCACCATCACCACCGTCACTGCTGCTGTGTGATGATGTGCTCGACCTCCTTGAAACAGAGCGGCTACTGTGCCGGCTGCCGCTATGGCTGCTGTGGAATGACTGTCTGTCGTCGTCGTCGCCTTCATCGCCGCCATCGCCGCTGACACCGGCCGCCCCCTTCTCCCGCGAGCTCTTGAGCTGCTTCATTGCCAGCTCCTCAATGGCGTTGACGTCGAAATCGGCATCCGCCTCGTCGCCGGTCATGGCACGCGCTGCTTCCTCGTCGCCGGGGCCAAGCACCTCCCCGTCCAATTCAGCGAACGGTTCGCCAGTGCCTTCGCCTGTCGTCTCCGCACCATCGTCGCCATCACCATTGTCATCGTCGCCCGCGTGCTGTGGGCCAGCAGGGTTGACGGCGAACACGTACTCCTTGGGCGCATTCTCCCGGTGCTCCCGCGCTTCCTCCTCGCGCCACTTGTACCCAGCATAGCCGCCGCACACAATGCACGCAGCAATGGCGCCGAAGAAAAACAGGCCGCCCACGGCAGCGCGGGCAATTTTGGAGGACGACAGCGTGGACGACCCAGTCTGCCCGCTGCTCGTGCTGCTCGTGCTGGTGCTGGTACTCACGGTTGAGGTCGACATGGGGCTGCCGGCCGTGCTTGTCGCTGTTGTGGTGGACTCAGCTGCGACAGAGGATGTCGAAGCTGTTGTTGTTGGAGGAAGTGTTGTCGTGGTTGTAGTCGTGGTGAAAACCGTTGTGGTGGTTGTTGTGGTAGTTGTGGTAGTTGTTGTGGTAGTTGTTGTGGTTGTTGTGGTTGTGGTTGTGGTTGTTGTTGTTGTTGTTGTTGTTGTTGTTGTGGTGGTGGTGGTTGTGGTTGTGGTTGTTGTGGTGGTTGTGGTGGTGGTGGTTGTGGTTGTGGTTGTTGTGGTGGTGGTTGTTGTAGCTGCTGGCGCTGTCGTCGTGGTTGTGGTAGTGGTTGTGGTGGTGTCATTCCCTGCTTGAACTGGAAGCGTTGTAGTTGTGGTGGTTGTTGTTGTGGTGGTGGTGGTTGTGTTGTCCGCTGCACTTGCACTGGCTGCGAGCAGGCACACAGCCACTGCCAATGCAATTGCCAGACACCGGGATAACCTCCATGGCACAGACTTGGCCGAGCTTGCTGATGCGTCTCGCCTCACCATTGTGGCTCCTCTCCCTTTTGTGTTTGCAGCGATGCGATAATCTATTCAATGTGCGTGTGTGTGTGTGTGTGTGTGTGTGTGTGTGTGTGTGTGTGTGTGTGTGTGTGTGTGTGTGTGTGTGTGTGTGTGTGTGTGTGTGTGTGTGTGTGTGTGTGTGTGTGTGTGATTGGTTGATTGATGGGTTAGCGTTGTGGTGATGTGAGGGTTGGTGGTGTTGAATTAATGGCAACGTACGATGTGAGCCGACACGATCATCCCTTCCCCCTTCACTTGCCTTCGACTTCTCCGCTCCCCCCTTCGCCTCCCCCCATACAGCCAACCACACCATGCAACCACATCATCATCACCTGGCAGAGATGATGCGGCGTGGTAGTTGCTTCGTCGTCGCTGTTGTTGTTTGTGGGGCGTGCTGATTCTGCACGGCACAAAAATTGCTGACTCAGATGTTGGTGTGCCGACTTTGTGCAATTTGAGCAATCTTGTTGGCCCACAACACAAACAACACAACCACCAAGAAGAAGAAGGAAGTGAGTGCTGGCTGCAAGCGGTTGGCTGGGTGGTTGTTGAGAGGGATGCCTGCCTCTGCCGTGCTTGTTGTGTTGTGTTGTGTTGTGTTGTGTTGTGGTGTGTTGTGTTGTGTTGTGTTGTGTCGTGTTGTGTTGTGTTGTGTTGTGTTGTGCCTCGACGCTGCTGCTGTGGCTTGAAGAGCCACGGAGAAAAGAGACAGAGAGAAAGAGAGAAAGAGAGAGGGAAGAGAGGAGGTGGAAGGAAAGGCTTTAGGGTTGTCGTTGATGAGCTCATCTCTCCTTTGCTTCTCTGTGCAGACTGACCGAGAAGCGCAAGGATCCAACAGCTATGAGTACGCCAAACATGGACGAGAATGCCAAACTATGGTTTGGCGTTCAGCTTGAGGTTCGTTTCAATTGTTGGGCTGCTCTGGTTGCCAACAGCACAGCCACAAAAGCACACTGGGAGAGATAGGAGAGACAGTCAGAGAGAGAGAGAGAGAATGGAGGTGGGGGCTGGGGGAGAAAGGGACGCAGAGACAGAGACAGAGACAGAGCCTGAGAATGGGTGTATCGACTGAGGACAACAACAACACACACGCACATACACACACGCACACACATACATACACACACGCACACACATGCACACACATGCACATGAGTACTCACACGCTGCCCTTGCAGGTGACGCAAAAGCTGCTGGCAGCTGAAGACCGCAAGCTGGAGGTCATGCACCATGAGCTCAGCGGCCAACATGGCACCCTTTCTGGTCTCAGGCGCCTCGCCAACTCGTACGTTTATGCTGTCGCCAAGGGCAGCCTTCTGCTTCTGCATCGGCGATTACCTGCGCTGCTCAAACATAACAACAACAATGGCTACGACGACGACAACAACAACAGCAGCAGCCGCAGCAGCAACAGCAAACAACAACTTCAACAACAGCAGCAACAGCAGCAACAGCATCAGGGACACCAAGCACAAGCACAAGCACAAGCACAAACAACAACGACAACAACAACAACAACAACAACAACAACAACAACAACAACAACAACTCCAACAACAACAACAACAACAACAGCAAACAACTTAGACAACAACAACTTAGACAACAACAACAGCAAACAACAACAACTTAGTCAACAACAACTTAGACAACAACAACAGCAAACAACAACAACTTAGTCAACAACAACTTAGACAACAACAACTTAGACAACAACAACAGCAGCAGCAACAGCAAACAACAACAACAAACAACAACAACAACAACAACAACAACAACAACTTAAACAGCAACTCCTTACCCTGCTTTGTCTATATGCTGCCTATTGCTTTGCTCATTACTTGCCGTTGTTGTGGATGGTGCACGACACGCTAGACGCCTGCGGATGCAGTATGATCAGCTCAACAAGGAGTACGAGGATGCGGTGACAGGCCTGCTTCGCGGCAACACGCTCGCGGTGAGCTTGCGCATGCGCCTGTGTATCCGTGTGCATCTGCTTTCGCTGTGTCTGAACCTCAAAGTCATCACTGAAGCCGACGCACACGCGCATATTCTCGCGCACACGCTTACATAGACTCACGTACACATGCATGCACCGACGTGCACCTACGTCGCTTTTTTTTTTTCGTCCGCCTTTGTATCTTTCGCAGCGCGTGCGATCCTTGCCCTCCATGGGACTGAAGGGCGTCCACAAACAGAGGGTAGGCCAAACGTGCCCTGTCGCTGACCCCATTGCGCACACGACTTTGTGACACGCAAGCACAATGCCACCCTCTCACACAACACTCCCCCCGAACACACACACACACACACACACACACACACACACACACACACACACACACACACAACGCACGCACACGCACACCACCTGTGCAGTCGTCGCTGTTCCATGCGATGAACATCCAGGCTGGCCCCGTCAAGGACGGCGATCAGCCCGACGCCGCAGCGACGAAGCAGCTTGAGGAAAACGTCACAGAGATTGGTCGGCTGCCACCGCTGATGCCTCTTGTGTGATGCAATGTGATGTGTGTACGTGCATGTGTGTGCATGTGTGTGCATGTGTGTGCGTGTGTGTGTGTGTGTGTGTGTGTGTGTGTGTGTGTGTGTGTGTGTGTGTGTGTGTGTGTGTGTGCGTGTGCTGGGGCGGGGGTTGCTTCCCCTTGCCTCGTGTGTCCCCTTCGTGTCTTGCTCCTGCTCCTCCCCCTCATCCCCTCTCCTCACGCTGTCACTTGCCACCGCCGCTGCAGGCGCCGTTGGTGCTGAGGACACACACGACGGCCTCACGTTTGCTCGCGGCCGCGTGCAGTCAGGATCCCTGGTGCGTGTGACACACGGCAACAACAACAGTCGCAATGCTGTGATGGATGATGTTTTGTGTGTGTGTGTGCGTGTGTGTGTGCGTGTGTGTGTGTGTGTGTGTGTGCGTGCGTGTGCGTGTGTGTGTGTGTGTGTGTGCATGTGCGCTTCTATACTATGGTGAGAGAAACATTGGTGTGAAACCACCGAAAAA